TCTCGAATAAGAAGCAACACGTTTCATATTTTCGGAAGAAACACATAGCACCTTCTTTCATTAACATCTCATCTGTACTTTAACCACATGATCAAGCATGTACTACATACAGTTTTGTCTACCTCCCATTTTTGTTGACCAAAATCGCCATCTGACTGAAGCAGATTGACAAAATAGTTTTATTCGATTGATATCAGTTTCTGGGACTGATAAATGTCAAGAATGATGACTGTCAATCTATCAAAAATATGAATTCTGACAATTTTTGTCTTGTTCATTCTACAGTCGCTCCATCTTTAAATCCATCGTACTATTCAAGTGAATTTACAATCAATCATCCAATATTCGCTCGTAATGGCGGTTTCGGAGCTAACTACTACTATGAAACTCTACGAGTGGCAGTCCCAGCAAGTGGCTTTTATACTTTTCAATGCAACAGCTATATTGACTCATTCGTCTCCCTCTATTACATAAATTTTAATTCATCCAGTCCGGCAACAAATTTATTTAGATCATTTGATGATGCAAACAACGATAATTGGGAGTTCAATTTTACAATAAATTTTCCTTCTGCTTATACAATGGATTTTGCTATCACGACTTACAGTCCAAGTGTAACAGGACCATTCCAAATCGTTGCAACCGGCTCCAATAAAGCGACTTTTGCCCGGATAAGTAGCATCGCGAACACAAGTACAACGTCAACAACAAAACTGACAGCAACTACAACAACATCGACAACAATATCGACAACAACATCGACAACAACAACAACAAAACCGACAACAACATCGACAACAACATCGACAACAACAACAACAACAACAAAACCGACAGCAACATCGACAATTACAACAACAAAACTGACAACAACTACAACAACAACAACAACAAAACCGACAACAACATCGACAATTACAACAACAAAACTGACAACAACTACAACAACATCGACAACAACAACAACAAAACCGACAACAACAACAACAAAACCAACAACAACAACAACAACAAAGCCGACAACAACATCCACAATTACAACAATAAAACTGACAACAACTACAAGAACATCGACAACAACAACAACAAAACCGACAACAACAAAAACAACAACAAAACCGACAACAACAAAAACAACAACAAAACCAACAACAACAACAACAACAAAGCCGACAACAACATCGACAATTACAACAATAAAACTGACAACAACTACAAGAACATCGACAACAACAACAACAAAACCGACAACAACATCGACAACAACAACAACAAAACCGACAACAACATCGACAATTACAACAATAAAACTGACAACAACTACAAGAACATCGGCAACAACAACAACAAAACCGACAACAACATCGACAACAACAACAAAACCGACAACAACTACAACAGAACCGATAGGGGTGTAAATTGATATTTACTTTTAATTTAATTTACGAGTAAATTAAATTATCAATAATTTATATTTAAAATAAATATAAATATTTGTTTTCCCTAATTTATATTTAAAAATAAATATAATTTGTCATAATTTATATTTATAATAAATTTAACTTTCTTAATTTATATTTATTTTTAAATATAAATGATTTGCTTTTTATAATTTATTAAATAATAATTAAATTAAATTACCATATTTCTTGATGATACTTTAGGCAAGAAATATATCCTATTTTTAAACATTATATTCATCTATAATTCACATATTATACATCATTTTCATTCAACCAACAGTTTCTAATAGGAATGTCACTTTTTCTTTTTGTGCTTAGGGACGGAAAACGAATAACGCTTGTAGAAAAAGATAAGCAAAGAAGTGTACAAATCTCAGTACACTATAATAATGCTAGAAAACGCAATATGAGTGATCTTTGAGTTCCTAGGAGCGGAATTCTCCAGAACGGAAACAGTGAAACTCTTTCTTTGAGGTTTGCACAGTTTAAACACAAGAAAAAAAAAATGCTCGATTTTCGATAACTATGTACCAGAAGTGGAGAATTAATTTTTCTAAAATGTATGAAGAATATTTGGAGGTATATCATGTTTAATCTTGTGTAATTTATTGACTTCTTCACATGAACAGTTTCTTTAAGTGTATCAGATATTAAAGAAAAACATATACATAGAAAATCTTATGTCATAATATAAAAGTGTTTGAGTACTTTAATTGTATCTTAGTGAGCTTTGTTGTTTCCGTCAACTGGTAGAAGAAAAGTCGAAGTTCTTATTTCTGTATAGTAATGATTTCTACGATTGGATCTCGAAACGTTGACTTTTTTCTTCTATC